AGGGGGCGATTCCGAATTCAAGAAGAAGTCGCTCTCTAAAATATTGTCTCCCTCCCCAATGCAAAAAAAAAAAGATGGACGCAGACCAGTGGGTTGCTCTCTTGCCAGTTGTTTGCCAAGAGACCTTAACGCAGGAGAAATTTGCGTCGGGTTGGATTGCCCCTTGAGGTTAGATTTCTTAGGACCCTTCCATACAGCCCTCTATCCCAGATTATCAAGGCAGAACACCCCACATTATCTGAGTGTGAACTCCGATAACCCAGTTCAAAGCAGATACTGTGGGATTTTCCGTCTTGATATTCTGGGATATGTGGCTGTGTGGAAGGGCCCTCAGAAATCACCCAATTGGTTCCTCCGATGACAAAACTGACTCCACAAAGCCCCCCAGGAGCCTGGTACGATCTAAATTAACACCCCCTTCAACAAAAAATAAAAAGTAATCCAGAGAGGGAGAAAGAAAGAAAGAAAAGACAAGGAGTGCCTAAAAATAAATAATATTCCTGACTTTTTCTTCCTCTTTCCTTGGGGTTCATCACAATGCCAGGCGGCTAACTGTGCCGCATTAGGAAAAAAACCCAAAACCAAACAAAAACAACCGGCTCCCAGATTTCCAAGGAAGGAAGGAAGCTGTTTCACTATCTAAACGTCCCGATTGTTGGCCAGCAGATGAGGGGCAATTTGATCTCGCCTGTCCAATTCGTCAAGCCAGATAAGATAAGGAGGGAGAGGCAACCCGAGAGCCACCAAAGAGTTAATATTTAAAAAAAGATTCGCTATCATATCGACCTCACAACCTCTAAGGATGCCTGCCATAGATGCAGGCGAAACGTCAGGAGAGAATGCTTCTGGTCACACAGTCCTGAAGACTCACAACAACTCATTCCGTATAATTATTTTTCCTTCTTCTGTTGTTCCAACCACCCTCTTCCCTCCTTCCCAGTCTGAAGTCCCCTCCGCTTCTTTATTTAGCAGATTGTTACCATTGCCACACTACTAATGATGATCTCTTCCTAATAATCTCCCTCCTATCCTGTCCCAAGGAGAGCCGGGGGAGGAAGGAGAAGCCCCTTTCTCAGGCTCCCTTATCTCTTTCTGAAGAGGTCGAAAGCCCGCTTTTAAACGGGCCAATGTTGTGCCGCTTCCCCTGTTGCATCTACATGGGCTAAAGATCTCAAATCGCAGTCCCAGCCCTGCAGCTGCGAGGCAGGCAAACAAGGCCTAAAGGCCGCGCACTTAATTACAATTAGACTAATATTAGCTCGAGTGGAAAAGAGGCGAGGGGAGGGGGGTTTGCTGTAAGATAAGAGGGTTTGTTGGTGCAAGGGGGCCGAGGACAAAATGCTAACCCCCCCCCCCCAAATAAACCCAGGCCTTAAATCCAAAGGGTTAATTCCACCCAGAGTAGAGCTCTCTCTCCTGCTTTCAGCCTCAAATGAAGGTTGCCTTCAAATTAGGCCTCCAGCTGGGACCAGGGGCTGGATTTGAGGACCCACAGGGTCAAGACAGTCTCAATCCCTGGGCTCTCAAAGTCCATCGGTAGCGCCTCTCCTCCCAACAGTGGCTCCTCGGTTTAGGATCAAGGCCCCGATCCTAAGAGGTTTACTCCACAGGAACAGGGCACTTTCCTTCTCCAAGGTTGAGGCCCAGAGAGAGAAGGGAACTCGCTCTAGAAGGGATGCTTCCGCGCTGAGGCCTCATCCTGCCTCCATTTCCCCGGAAGGTAAATAAAGAAAATATGGACAGAACATTTCCTGAAGCTCCCAGAGCCGGTGCCTTAGAGACCTCAACCTTGCTATGCTTAGAAAGGCACTTGGACTGGATCTAAGTACATTGTATTGTCAAAATGGCCAGAATCACTGGGTTGTTGCGTGTTTTCCGGGCTATATGGCCATGTTTCAGAAGCATTCTCTCCTGACGTTTCGCCTGCATCTATGGCAGGCATCCTCAGGGGTTGTGAGGTCTGTTGGAAGCTAGGAAAATGAGGTTTATATATCTGTGGAACGTCCAGAGTGGGAGAAAGAACTCTTGTCTGCGTTGCTGTAAGTTTTTCAGCTGTATGGCCATATTCCAGAAGCATTCTCTCCTGACGTTTTGTCTGCATCTATGGCAGGCATGTTCAGAGGTTGTGAGGTCCGTTGGAAATTAGGAAAATGGGATTTATATATCTGTGGGATGTCCAGGGTGGGGGAAAAAACTCTTGTCTACTTGGATCTACACTGAATTGCATTATAGTGGTCTTCACTGGCCATATAATGCAGTCCAAGCTGCATTATATTCCAGTGTAGATGCAGCCTGTTTGTCAATTGGACTTAAAGAACTCGACTTCCAAGTTCTAAGGACGTAGAAGCTCTTGTTTATTTCCCTGGCCTCGTCCATCGATGTTTACAAAACTCAGTGGAATAAAACATTTGGAGGAGAGAGAGTCCATCTGCACAAAGCTGTGCCAAAGAGAGAGGACTGGTGATGAAGCAACCTGCCTATATGGTGTTTCAGAGGGGGAGGTTTCATATACCTGACATTTATTTTCCTTGTGGCTTTTATTTCCATCTCATGGACGTTTATTTCATCTTGGGGGGAGGGGGGATTTATTTCCCGCAAGGCGTTCCCACCCCCACTCCAGCCTCCAAAAACAAATGCAAACAAGCCCGAGCAAGACTGCCTTTGCCTCTTTCAGGGCAACTGCGTGGGGGAAGGAGGAGAGGAAGAGATCGAGAGAGAGAGGAAGAGAAGGCAGAAGGGATGAAAGGGAAGCCTCCTACCTGATATAATCCCGCTTGCAGTAGGTCTTCCCGTCCCTAACAAAGCAGGTACACGTCTCGTCCAAATACTGGTTACATTCCGCGCATTTCAAGCACGCCGCGTGCCATTCCAGGTCCGGGGAAACCCGCAGGATATACTGGTCGTGGATCTGGTTCCCGCAGCCCACGCAGAGGGAGATCAGCCGCTTCTCTGCAAGGCAAAGGAGGAGAGACATGACGAACCCCACTCTCTCTCGCTCTCTCTCTTTCTCGTGGCCTCTCTCTCTCTCTTCCGGCCAGAAAGAAGACACTTGAGGAGCCTCGGTCACCCGCGTTGCTGCTGCTGTGGTTGTTGTTGTTGTTGTTGTTGTTGTTGTTGTTGTTGTTGGGGACTCGGGTTGCGCTCTAAGCGGGGAGGGGGAGGAGGGAGAGAGATCCGAGTGGCCTTTTTCGGAGGGCAACGGGAGCAAGAGCGCGCGTGTGTGTGTTGTGTGCCTGTGCCTCGGTCATCAAAGGCTTCTCTCATTGAGAAAAAACAACAACAGAAAGAAAAGAGGCGGATCGCCTTCCAAAGCAAAGAGGGCATAATCAGGAAGGGGCAGAATTTACACGCCTTCTTTCCACGCAGTCAAAACACCCCCCTTTTGGACGTCTCCCCCAAAGGGGGGAAGCAGGAGGCAGCAGGGCATTGAGAGCCCTCTCAATGAGGTTTGGGAAACCATGTGTCTCTGAGTTACCAATTCTCATAACATCACCCCTCCTTTTTTTTTGCAATTTCATTCACCTTTCTTTCCTGTGGGGAGGGGGGGGGGGAATCATAACATCACCCCTCCTTTTTTTTTGCAATTTCATTCACCTTTCTTTCCTGTGGGGAGGGGGGGGGGGTGTCCAACCACATTTGTACAGATTTCCCCTTCCCTCCAAATGTCTAAAGAGCCAAAGGAGCTCAGGTTTTCGCTCCAAAGCCCCAGTTTCCCGTGGAAATGTCTCCTTTCCAAAGCAGCCCTCCTTGAGAAGCCCCTGCCACAGTCGTTGCGGGAATTGAGGGGGAGGGGAGGCATGGAAAGGGATCCGGATTCTTGCTCTCTGCGCCCTTCCCTGCCCAAACATGCGCTCCTTTCCTTGCCTTTGCAGGGAACTCCACCGCCTGGATGGGATTGTCCTTCTCTAGCAGAACTTACTTCCAGCCGAGGGGTTTGGGATCACCTGGCAGAGGAGATCCCCATTCCTTACCAATTTCTCCGTTGGGGCCCATCCCCACCTTCTTCCCCATCACTATCCGCCCCTTTCACCCTGAATATTGGCACTCGAGGTCGCTTTTCAATGCCATCCCAGCAGGTAAAGGTGGTTGGAGCCTCACACAAGCCCAATGGATAATGCATATATATAGTTAAGTAATAATAAAATGAATGGTGGTTACGATTACTTTCAATAATAATAATAATAATAATAATAATAATAATAATAATAATAATATAAAATAATGTAAAATAAAATAAAAATAAAATAACAAATAAAATAAATAATATAATATATAGTTAAATAATAATAAAATGAATGGTGGTTATGATTGCTGCCGATAATAATAATAATAATAATAATATAAAATAATATATAATAATAAAATAATGTAAAATAAAATAATAAAAATAAAATAAATAATAAAATAAATAATATAATATATAGTTAAGTGATAATAAAATGAATTGTAGTTACGATTACTGCCAATAAATAATAATATAAAATAATAATAATAATAATAATAATAATAATAATAATAATAATAATAATAATATACCGATGATGATAATGATAATAAATCTATTCTTACTTTTCGGTGGGTCTCCCATATCTCCCATCTCTGTGAGAGGGTACAGAGTCCACAGTGGAATGGTGCACGGTTGCGTTGGGACTTCCCAAAGAAGAAGAAGAGGAGGAGGAGGAAGAAGATGATGATGATGCGAAGAGCAGCAATAGGAAGAAAGTCACGCGGAAGAGGCTGCCAAGGCGAAGAAAGGGAAGCAGTGCCGCTTGTGGGGTGCCTCTTCTTGGTGGAGGAGTCCCAGAGGAAGACGGGGCTCAGGGCTGGGCTCCCTTAGGGCCACGGCGAGGCTTCTTTTCCAAGTGTAGAGGAGGACACGGCCGTGGCGCGGGGACACGCGAGGCCAGGCGCCCCCTCCCTGCGTCCCTGCCGCCTTCCCCGCCCGAGGCGCGAGTGGCCGGAGAGGCGCTTGCCCGGACGCGGCGCGGCCACCAGCCAGCCAGCCAGCCTGCCTCCCTCCCTGGCTCTCGCCTCCCGCCTCCCTCCTTCTTTCTTTCTTTCCTTCCTTCCCTCCTTCCCTTCTTTCGCTCGCTCTTCCTTATCTCTTACTCAAACTTCTCTGCTCCAACTCGGCCCGCTCGCCATTGGTCGGCGTCGGCCGCGGGGACGTCAGGCTTGCTGGCCGCTGATTGGCCGGGCGGGACGCAGAAGCAGCTGTTCTGATTATCATCTTTCAGGGGCTGGAGGAGGGAGAAAGAGGGGGACCTGGAGGGAGAGACATCGTAGAGGGAAGGGGGAGAAATGGGGGAGACATGGGGGGGGAGAGGGGGGGGGAGAAATACTAGATAGAAGGGGGAAGAGGACCAGGGAAGGAGGGAGGGAGGGAAACAGTCCTTTCAGAAAGGGAGGCGGAAGAGGGAGAGGAGCTGAAAGAGAGGGGTAGAAAAGAGAGGGGGGAGAAAGAGGACCAAGAGGGAGGGGAAGGACCCCAAGGGGGAAGGAGAGAGTGAGGGCCTGCAGGGATGTGGGGAGAAGAGTTGCAGGTGGGGGAATAGAAGAACTGGAGGGAGAGAAGGAGAAAGAGAGGTTGGAGAAAGCCCAGGCAGAGCCTGGAAATAGGGGGCTCACAAGAAGAAGAGAGTGGGGAGAAAAAGAAAATCGGGGACAACTTTCCCCTTCTCACCCCATTCCCGCTCCACTCTTCTCTTCCTCCCTTAATCCTTGCACCCTCTCTCTCTGTATATATATAGGATTATGGGTGGAAGAGAATGGAGAAGAAGGAGGAGGAGAGAAGGGGGAGAAAAAGAAAATCAGGGACAACTTTCCCCTTCTCACCCAATTTCCTCTCCACTCTTTCACCCTTAAATCCTTGCTCGCTCTCTCTATTTATATATAAAGGATTAAGGGTGGAAGAGAAGGAGAGGAAGAAGGAGAAGAAGAGGAGGAGGAGGAGAAGAAGAGGAGGAGGAGGAGGAGGAGAGTGGGGAGAAAAATAAAATCAGGGGCAACTTTCCCCTTCTCACCCCCTTCTCTCTCCACTCTTCCACCCTTCAATCCTTGCTTTTCCCCTCTCTCCCTCTCCCTCTACCAAGGATTAAGGGTGGAAGAGAAGAGTGGAAAGGGAATGGAGAAGTGGAAGAAGAAGAAGAAGAGGAGAGGGTGAGAAAAAGAAAATCAAGGGGCAACTTTCCCCTTCTCACCCCATTCCCTCTCCACTCTTCTCATCCACCCTTAATCCTTGCGCTCTCTCTCTCTCTCTCTCAATCTATCTATCTATATAGGATTAAGGGTGGAAGAGAAGAGTGGAAAGGGAATGGAGAAGAGAATACACACACACACACACATATACCTCTTCTCCCTCTATCTCTCTTTAGATCCCGCCTCCCCTTTCATTGGATTATAAAGCAGGCAGCTGTCTTTCCCTGTTCTCTCTCAATCTGTTTTTTTTTCAAAATGTGGAATTTCTTTTTCTCCCCCTTTTGAAGGGGAAGCAAGGCTTTTCTCTCCGAAGCATCCCCTTCTCCTCGTCCCCTCTCCCCACCCTCCAAATCTCTCTCTCTCTCTCTTCCCCTCCCCCCCAAACGAAATTGATCAGATCAAATATGGAAAGGGGGAGAGGAGAGGAGAGGTGGAGCGGCGGATTAAAAACGCTGCAATCTGTATTATGCCACGAAAAGGGGGCAATCAAGGCTTAGTTGCTGCTTAGATATTTACTCGCTGTACTTTTCAAATAACAAATGTAGATCGGGGCATAAAAGCGCAAGCGAGGCTCCGGTTGACCCCAGGCTGTCGGTGCTTTTAAACCCCTTTCGCCCCCCAAAATAATTATTGACGTCTCACTTTCTCTCTCCTCCCCCACCAACCTCAGTCTGAGACAGACATGATGATGAGGACCTGTGGATCCCAACCATCCACACGCCTGGAGTTGTTCAGGTGGCCAGTCAGAGCCTACGATTGATGTGTTTGAATCCTAGGTCTTATGTCTCTTGATACAGGTGTGTTCATGGCCTTAGGTTTTAACCTTGGTATTTTAACTGTGTTGTACTCTGCCTTGAGGAGAGGCGGGTAGCAAATGACATGAATTAATGATTATTGTTAAAACGCCTAATTCAGTACTAGGTCTCAAGTATAGTTTTCGAGGAAATTTACGCAGTTGAATAAAAGTGGAAGAGGAGGGGCCTCCTCCTCTTCCACTTTTCTCCTCTTCTTTCTTCTCCTCGTCGTCGTTGTCCTTCTTTTCTCTCCTCCTCCTCCTCTTCCTTCTCCTCCTCCTCTTCCTCCTCTTCCTCTTCCGCCTTCTCGTCTTCCTTCTCTCCTTCCTCCTCTTTCTCTTTCTCTTCCTCCTCCTCCTCTTCCTCCTTCTCCTCCTCTTCCTCTTCCTCCTTCTCATCCTCTCCCTCCTCTCCCTCCTCCTCTTCCTTTTCTCTTCCTCCTCTTCCTCCACTACCTCCTCTTCTTCTCCCCCCCCCCTCCTCCTCCTGTACCTTGAACTTCTTGAAAAGGCAGAGAGAATAACCAGGTCTATCTTCTACATAATCCAGTTTATTCTCCTTGGAGGAGAAATAGAGAAAACTGCCACTTCTAGTCTCTTCCTGCTGACAGTGCATGGCATGATGTCCTCAATGTTCTATAGAAAGATGGGATGTTGATGATGATACCACCAATACTACTACTACTACTACTACTACTACTACTACTACTACTAATAATAATAATAATTTGTCATCAGCCTCTCCTCAGTGCTAAATGTAGAGTACAGCACGTTACTATTAAAACATATAAGACATCAACCTAAGATTAAAACACATCTCTGCTTCCTCATAATCTTCTTGGGAGGACAGGCAGTGTGAATTATTATAATTGTGCTATTACCACAATATGATATGGAAGCAGATAATGCCTTGATAATCTGGGATATAGGGCTGTATGGAATGGCCCCCTGTCCACACGGCTATATATTCCTGTTCAAAGCAGAAAATGTGGGATTTTATTCAGCTGCGTGGAAGGGGCCAAAGTCTAAGACTGTGAGAATTATAACCATCCATATTATCACTTGCTGATGTTCTTTCGACTCACCCTAAGAGGTTCTATAACGGGATTTCTTGGCAAGATTTGTTCAGAGAGGGGTTTCCATGGCCTTCTCCTGAGGTTGAGAGAATGTGGCTTGCCCCAATGGGTTTCCATGGCTGAAACCTTCTTTTTCTCCTCCCAGAGTAGCCTCCTGTTCGTGTTGTTCCTCCTCCTGCTAGAGAATGAGGGCTTCCTCTCCCTCTTGCTTTAGGAGAACGTCAGCTGATTTCTGAACCTGCCTTTGTGGAAGGCCAAGCTTGGGAGACCTTAAACATCTCTCCTCAACTCACAGGCGCCCCTCAAAAGTTTCCAGTCAACACAAAAGATTCCTAACTAACTTTTGTGTAAGCGGAAATATTGGAGAGTATACAGGGAAATTCTGAACAAGAATCAATCAGGGCCAGTTAACACTTCCAACAAAGGATCCCCCAGGGCGCAACCAGCCAAGCTTTGAAGCTGCAAGATCATTCAATGCTAATCAAGCTGGCCAATTGCAACATTCACACTAGCCTCCAAAAGAAGAGAGTTCTTCCTCCCAGCCTGGACATTATTCTGAGATATATAAACCCTACTTGCCTAGTTTCCAATAAACCTCACAAGCTCTGAGGATGCCTGCCATAGATGTGAGCAAAACGTAAGGAGAGAATGCTTCTGGAACATGGCCAGACTGCCCGGAAGACTCACAGCAATCCATACAGGAGTATCTATACTGAAGAATTAACTCAGTTTGACGTCACTTGAGTAGCCATAGCTCAATGCTATGGCACCATAAGAGTTGTAGTAGTTGAGGGAGATACCAGCACTCTTTGGCAGGAAAGACTCAAGTCCTCCTAAAAGGACAGCTCCCAAGTTTCCAAAGCATTGAGCCATGGCAATTCAAGTGGTGTCGAACTGCATTATTTCTACAGTGTAGATGCACCCTGGGATGTGGAGCTGGCCATTGTGAAAGCAACCAGAATATTAACGGGATTCTCGAGTAGTGGAAAGCCATCATTCCTCCCGAAATTGCAGAGCTAGTGCAATCCATACATATATATATATATATATATGTGTGTGTGTGTGTGTGTGTGTGTGTGTGTGTGTGTGTGTATGTATGTATGTATGTATGTATGTATGTATCCGAACACACACACACACATAGGACTTCAACTCTCACCATTCCTCACAGCCTCAGGCCCTTTCCTTTCCCGCTTAAGCGGCTGAGGGGGGAAAGGAAAGGGCCTGAGGCTGTGAGGAATGGTGGGAGTTGAAGTCCAAAACACCTGGAGGGCCCAAGTTCGCCCATACCTGGTTTAGATTCAGCCAGAGACACCTATCTTCCCATACACGCTTATGTATACACACTACATTCTTACATACACCAACATATCTTATTGTTGTTTTGATTTTGGACCTTGGAATCACCACAGTGTGATATTCCCTGCCCTTCCTTTCTTATGTATCTTTATAAATGCATTTGATTTCCAGCAAAGGCCAGGAAGGCAACGTTGGTACTGTGTAAACAAACATGGCCGATTACACCACTGAGTCTCTCTATATATGGGATTGGTGGATGGGGGTGGGGAGACCTAAAAGGGCCATTAAAAATTTCCTGGAATCCGAGACAGAAAGGAGCCCCCTCCTCTCTCCCCCACCCCACCCCGCAATATTTAGCTCTCTCAACCAAGGAGCAATTAGTAATAATTGCGGGGGATAGTTATCCCAAAGCCACCGGGGGAAAAAAAGGGGTGGTTGCCACCCTCCCTTCATTTGACATCGGAGAAACCAAGCCATGAATTGAACACGTCTCTCGGCGGACATGGAGGGCGACAGCCTCGGATTTCCCCTCCCACGCAACTGCGTGGACGTGGAAGGAGGAATCCCGCGTGGACCGGGACTGGAGAAACTGTCGGTGTCCGTGGAGGCTGAAGAGAACAAGGATTTTGGATGA